GACAGAGAAATGAGAAGCTAGCGCTGGAGTGATTCTATATCTCTTTCCTGTCCAGCTTAAAGTCAGGAGGCAGGAATTATCTACTATAAAAATAACAATTCTAAAAAAAAAAAAAAAGGTGCTCTCCTCTACCCTGCAAAATGCTTCTTTGATTTGAACAGTAAATAACCAGTTGAAAGGTACCATCATTTTCTAAAACCTTCAGGATCTACTTGAGCCAAATAAACATACAAGGTTAAATTAAAGAAATGGACTCTCTTACGGTACAGCATCACACTCTGGATCCAGCAAGCAAACATCTATTCAATAAAGGTTTTATTAATAGTGAGCTTTCAACCTGTCATGGCTGGCAGGACTCAGAGGACCCAAGAATGAATGCAGGGCCAGAGGAAAGTCTGTGTGTCCCCATGAACACATTAGCCAGGGTTTTCCAAACTGGAAGACAGGAATGAGATAGGGAAGGAGGAGCTGAGTTTCAGACACCAAGTTGGAAGCGGTAATAATTTGTCATGGCTTCAGCTAACCGTGTATAATGTGAAAATGACAAATGTGTCGTTTAGAATGTGCCGGACCAAATACAATAACATATTATCATGGGCAGATTCTCCCTGGGTTATTATGCAAAGGAAGGGAGGGTGTGATAACTAATTAAATGAAAGGGCCAGCCCCTGTTTCAAACTTCTGGAACATTTCGAATTCTAATATGTTCCTTGGATGTACCCAGCGGTGGTGGGGGGGGGCGGGTGGAAATTCAGAGACTGTAATGAAGCTGATTTTTATCGAGATGAAACACAGGCATTCATACACACATCCCGGTAACATGTAGATACCCCTCCCTTTCTGCTACCCCATGAATCAGGGACTTAGAAGGCAAGTCAAGCGGGTGAGTAAATTTGATTTTGAATACTCCCAGGGTGGTGCTATGCGGGCCACAGTCTTATTGTCGCTTTCTATGTACGCTGGAATGTCACACGGGCTAGTGTTCTTGGGCTGAGGGGAGCGGTCAAGTTCCTATCAGCAGAGTGTGTAACCCACCAATTTTTTGATTTCGTAACAGGCTACCCAAGAGTGCCAAGATTCTTATCTCCCAATCCTTAGCCAACTTCCTTTACTCTGCCTTAAATGAAAGCAATTCCAAAAGAAAAAAAAAAAAACCCCACCGAATTAGACTTCTAAATGCCTTCTTGCTACATATGAAGCAAATCACAGATTGTCTGAGCTGGAAGGGACCTTGGGCAGCCCCTGGCTCATCCACCCAGGACCAGAGAGGGTCGGCGACTGGCCCAAAGTCACACAGCAAATGTGCAGCAGAGCCCAATACAGCATCCTTGGTCTGGGGACTTCTTGGCCAATTTATCAAGCATTTTTGGCTGAAAACCTTTGAAAGGTCTTCTTTTTTGTTAGCATTGGCTTGGCTCCTGTTCGTTCAAGATAGACTTTTCAAAAACCCAACGTTTCAACATAATTGCAAATAGTAAATGGCTTGCCTTATCTGCGCCTGTCACTGCTGATTTAGCAAATAGGCTTCAAGAGAGGGCTGGGAGCTTCAGCAGACAGAAGATAAAGTCCTCCCTAAATTTGCTGTAACGATGGATACTTGATTTGTCAGACAGAGAAGTGGAAGAACCTTTGTATATTCAATATCCTCCGTTGACTGAGAGGAGGTGACCCTCTCTGATTCATAAACTATTAAGTAACCTGATTTCTAAAATTTAATTTTCTTTTGACACACACACACACACATACACGTGCACGCGATCTCTCCTTTGAGAAGCTCAGAGGATCTTTTCCCCCTTTCTACCTGCAGAAGAATAAAGATTTTAAGACTGAAGCCATACCGCTTCAATAGCCAAGTGTCTATTGGCAGGTGAAGAGAGAAGGTAAAGGTGGCATATATTTACATACAACGGAATATTATTCAGCCACTAAAAAAGGAAATCTTGCCATTTGTGACAACACAGATGAACCTAGAAGTCATTATACTAAGTAAAATAAGCCAGACACAGAAAATGTTGTATGATTTCAATTATCAATGGAATATAAAAACACTGAGCTCACGAAAGCAGAGAGGAAGATGGTAGTTACCAGGGTCTAGGGTTGGTGGAAAAGGGGAGATATTGGTAGAAACTTCCAGTTATGAGTAGCTTCTGGGGATCTAATGCACAGCAAGGTGACCATATTTATTAATAATAATTCTAAATTGTATTCTTAAAATTTTCTAAGTGTTTACATCTTAAGTGTTCTTACCTCAGAAATAAAATAACATGTGAAGTGATGGATATGTGAATTAGCTTAACTGTGGTCATCATTTTGCGATAAAAAGGTGATCAACTATGCCATATCCCACTGTATACCTTAAATAACCCACTCCAGTATTTCTGCCTGGAGAATCCCATGGACAGAGGAGCCAGGCAGGCTACATAGGGTCATAAAGAGTAGGACATTACTTAGCATGCAACAACACACCTTAAATACATACAATTTTAACTTGTCAGTTAGTTACAGTTCAGTAAAACTGTGGGAGGAAGCAAAAAATACATAAATACAATTAAAGAGGAAAAAGGAAAACATGTCCCCTACTAAAGGCAACGTGGTATCGTAGAACAGGAAAAGGACAGAAGCAGAAACACTGATGCCACTTGCATAAAACCTGAAGTTAAAAATCCCTGCACCATAGCTTTTAAAGCGGGGCTGGCAGTGCAGAAATCCTGCTTAAGGGCACTTTGTACCCAGTGGAGAAGCTGGGGCTTCTTTGGGCTTTCAGTTAAGGGGACTCGGCACCCTGAATTTTGTGGAAATGTGTCAATAGCTGCACGTGTTCTAAACTGTCCCTGAAACCCCCACCCATCCTGCATGCCTAGGGCTCCTGAGGCCTCTGAGATGAGGTTCCACCTCCTCCGTTTTAAATTCCACCCGTGGAAAGTCCGTCCTCCTTTCGCCCCTGGAGTTAAGGTGACACAAAGCTGCTCATTTGCCTGTTGCTTCTGAAGGGTCCAAAGAGGCGTGTTCCAGGCAGGTTACATGTCTGGCGTTGGCCAGGAGGAAGCAGGTCACCCGAGAGGATGGTGTTCCCCCAGCCTGCGCAGGAAAAGTGACAGGAACAAGGAACTGCCTGGCTCCCACTGGCTCCCACCTGTCCAAGGGCTGTTCTGCTCCGATCAACCCCTCCCTCCGGCAAGGAGAGTTCTGGAGCTTCCAAAGCTGTGCCCAGTGAGTTTAGGTCTGACTCTGGCGGCAACAGGAATAAACACACGAGCTAAGGCCTGGTGCCCGCTGGCAGCAGCACTTTGGTGTAGCGGTGGGAGGTTTGGGGAAAAGATGCAGAGCGCCATGGACAGATGGGGAGGGCAGAACGGAAACTCTGGAGCAGCTCCAGCCTCAGAGGCGTGGCTGAGTCTGGGGTGGGAACTGAAAGGGCACTTGGTGTTTTTAATGCCCAGGTTTCCTGAGGCCTTTCCCAAGTCTATCACGTCCTGACGATTAAGCTACCCGAATCCTTTTAAATTGCCACTAAAATTGAATCCACGTTTATAAATGACCATTTGGATCAAATATCTTTCAAGTATAAATTTGTCATCTGGGAACTCCAGACCTTTCCGGATCAAAGGCTAATGGACTATTTCTTTTTTTAAAATACGTGGAATGTCAGATAATGGGAAGAGATGAACTGTTGCGGGGCGGGGAGGAGACAGCAGGACGTTTGCCTGGAAACCCAGAGGGAGCTTTATCCTCTGCACCCCCGAACAGTGTGAACTCGTCAGCCTTTTTCTGGGAGCAGCAGAGAAGTTTCGAAAATCCTCCGGGGCCTCCCTGAGGGTCAGACAGGTCAGGAAGCAGAGGGAAGCCAAGGTCAGAGGATGGCTGTGTCCCAGGTGAACAGTCAGGAAATGAGCTCAAGAGGCACCTGGTCACAGGTCACTAATCAGCCTGCGGTCCCTCCACTGGAGTCCAGACCACTTGCGTGGAGGGGACCAGAGACTGGAGTGAGGGACAGGTGGTGAGAAGCTGGGTCACAAGCCTGCCCCATCCCCTGGGAAGCATTTTCCTTGCAGAAGCAAACTGTGTCACTGTTCCTTTTTCCCAAAACTCTTCACTTCTTGACACAAAGGTGGGGTGCGTGTTTGTGTGTGTGTGTGTGTGTGTGTGTGTGTGTGTGTATACGCATGCAGGGCATACGCCTGCAAAGCATCCCTGAATCCACACGTAAACCAAACACTGTCCCATCTCCTACCTCAACTGAATTTCAATATCCCTGGGCATGAGATTAGCAAACATATACATTCCTTTTAAAGAGCATGTTAAATTTCTAAGAGTTAGTTGTCATGACGTTATTTTTCTCAATTAACAGACACAAAAAGCACAACTACTCTCAAGGGGGTGGGAGATTTATTCTTGACATTCAGGCAAACACCCCCTTTCCATCAAGGTTAGGGACACTTATGGTCCAAATGGAGAACAAGAGGTTCTGAGGGACCTGTCCCAGGATACACAGCCTGGTCCATAAACATCAAGGTCAGGCCAGAGCTCTGTGAGTCACCAGTACAGCCTCCTTGGACCACTCTGGAGTTAACAAAACTTTCAGGAGCAAAAGCCTCTAGGATAATGAGAATAACAACAGCAGAAGGGGAGCTCGCCCACTGATTACTAACCATATGCCAAGCAGACACAGGATCTCTTTCAACGCTCTTAAGAATCCTTTTCCCACTTTGTGGGAATCATACCTTTGCAGGAGCGTTTGATAATGCCTGTCTCCCGCACGCTAGCCTTTATGCCCCATGAAGGCAGGATCCATGTCTTTTCGCCCATCACTATGTCCCAAGTGCCTGGTATCTATTTGCTCAAAAAAAATATTAGATGTTCGTGTTTAAAGAAATACTTGTAAGAAAAACGGGGCCCAGAAAAGTCAAGCGATTTGACTAAAGACACACAGCATGGAGTTACTACTAATATGAAGGGCTTCGCCACTCTGCCCCGAAGTTCACCCCAAACCAGAGCCCTACCTTGACGGCCTCAGCGTGGGTCACTCGGGCCAGGGATTTGTCGTTGACACGCAGAATCTGGTCCCCGACTCTCAGCCCCTCCTTCTCGGCCAGAGAGCCCGGCTCCACCAGCGACACATAGATGCCCACGCCATGCTCCGAGCCCCCGCGGATGCTGAAGCCCAAACCCTCGTGGGCCTTGGCGCGCCGCAGGCTCACCAGACGCACCTCCCCGGGCCCCGCGCCGTCGGGGCCGCCCCAGGCGGGTTGCCTGTAGGGGGTGGTGGCGGGCAGGTAGAGGCCCTCCGCCGTATACTGGTCGAAGAGCAGCTGGTCGGAGCGCGGGATGACCAGCCGCAGCATCGGCAGCAGGCGCCGCTTGACCGGACTGTCCAGCAGCACGCGCAGGGTGCGCACCAGGTCGAAGACGTTGCGGCGCGCGTGGTAGGCGTTCAGGCAGTGCGTGAACTGCTCCCGCTCCGCCTCGCTCAGCAGCGCGGTCAGCGCCTGGTGCAGCTGGCGCACGTTGGCAGACAGCAGTCGCAGCCCCGCGCCCCCGCCGCCGCCCGCCCCGGCCGCCGAGCCCAGCGAGCCGGTGGAGGACGAGCCCACCGACAGGCCGTCCAGCGGCGCGTTCATCTCCCCGCCGAGGCCCGGGCGGAATCTGGGCGCGCGGTGGGACAGCCGCGGCACTCGCCGGCACTGGCGCGACAGCTGGATCCCGGGAGCGCGGAGATCGCTGCTGGGAGTCTGGGTCTGGGAGCTGGGGGTGGGAGGTCGCCGGGGGGATGCCGAGACAGGGACTGGATCCGGGAAGACCTGGAGAAGAAGGCTGGAGTCTAGGTTTGCAGGGCACGGAAACGGTGCCTTAATCCTGGGGAGGGTCGCGGAGACCAATGCTAGATTCCTGGGCGCGCGAAGNCTCTAACTCCCCCCCCCTCCCCCCCGCCCGTGGGCTCTTCAGGAAATGACGTCCCGCCTCTCGCCTGGCGGTTGCCTGGAGACGGGGTGAAACAGTCCAGCCCCAGAGAAGAAAGGGGTGAAAGTGGGGGTTAGGGGTGGGAGGAGCTCCAGGGTTGATGAGAGTTACCCCCACTTCCCCAGCCGGTGGCCGGGAGGGAGGGTTGTACCTCAAAAACTGCTCTTTCACGATCGAGGCATGTTCATCTGGATCGCTTTGGAGCAACTAGCCAGACAGCTAACTCACAGTTGTGGGGGAAAATAACCAACGTCTTGCCCCTAAAATATTAAATGCCTCAGGCTCAGTTTTCTACCTTAAAACCTTGCGGGTCCCCTCTTGCACGCACTAACATTCAAGTTCATGTGTTTATACGGGCTATTGTTGAGCACCTACTGTATGCAAGAGATCTGTCTATTCAAGCATATTTGGTATCTATGGGGTCCAACTCCAGTGCAGGGCTAGATCAGACTGGACCCGTGCCCAATATTCAGTAGGTAGGAAAAACCTTTTCACAGATATAAAGTGGACACGACACACATGGGCATATGAAATATAAAAGTTCAAAATATAAAATATTAAAGTTTTATACAAGATATTAAAAGTTCCAAATTAGGTGGGTGGATTGTATCAATGTCAAGATCAGAGCTGTGATCTTGTCAACATTAGGAGAAACTAGGGGAAGAGTGCATGGGATGTCTGTGTATTATTCCTTACAACTGCATGTGAATCTACTATTATTGCAAACACTTTAAAAAATGTGTTTGAAGAGTATTGGGGAAAAACTATTCTGTTCCTTTCCATCCCAAGACAAATGGGAAGATTCTCCAAGGTACCCCCTCCCCCAAATATAATCTAAGGGCACTCATCCTGTCCTGACTCTTGTGCTGAGTGCTGGAGACTCCAGTTAAAAAGATGAAATCTTTTACCTCCAGGAGGTTATAGTCTAGCAGGGGAGAAAGCCCACATAAATAAATAAAGTTAAAAATCAGAATGATAAGTTGTTGCAACCGCCGAGAGAGCCCAGGTTTAGGGGAAGAGAAAATGGCCAGGACTTTATCAATCAAAGAGCTGACACCTGAATGAAGGGAATGGATTTTCTTTTCTGGACCACAGGGAACCATGGAGGGATTTTTCAGCCCTTGTACGTTTAGTTCACTTCCAAAACCAAGGCTAGGAACTGAAGCTATATTCAGTTCAGTTCAGTTCAGTTGCTCAGTAGTGTCCAACTCTTCGCAACCCCATGGACTGTAGCATGCCAGGCTTCCCTGTCCATCACCAACTCCCGGAGCTCACTCAAACTCTTGTCCGTCAAGCTGGTGATGTCATCCAACAATCTCATCCTCTGTTGTCCCCTTCTCCTCTCGCCTTCAGTCTTTCCCAGCATCAAGGTCTTTTCCAGTGAGTCAGTTCTTCTTGCATCAGGTGGCCAAAGTATTGGAGTTTCAACATCAGTCCTTCCAGTGAATATTCAGGACTGATCTCCTTTAGGATGGACTGGTTGGATCTCCTTGTAGTCCAAGGGACTCTCAAGAGTCTTCTCCAACACCACAGTTCAAAAGCATCAGCTGTTTGGCGTTCAGCTTTCTTTATACATTATCCCCCTCAAATTGCCAACTCTCGTCTTCATTTCCCTAAAACAGGCCTCGATAAATTAATGCCCAAAGAACATATTTGAAAGGGCGTCTTTTTAGATTTGTGCACTTATTTTGAGTTTGGCTGCGCTGGGTCTTTGTTGCTGCACGCAGTCCTTCTCCGGCTGCGGGGAGCAGGGGCTACTCTCCACTCTTCTCATTGCAGCGGTTTCTCTCACTGCAGATCACAGGCTCCAGGTGTGCGGGCTTTAGTAGTTTCTGCTCACGGGCTCTAGTGTTCTGACTCAGTAGTTGTGGCACACAGGCTTAGTTGCTCCGCGGCATGTGGGATCTTCCTGAACCAGGAATCGAACCCGTGTCCCCTGCATTGGCAGGCAGACTCTTTACCACCAAGCCACCAGGGAAGCCGGACAGGGTGTCTTAAACAGCCAGTTAAGCTACCTTGGACATCCATCTGACAGTTCCATTAGAGCAGTTCATAATGTGCATTCTTCTTTCTCATTGAAGCCTTTGATGTAACTAGCCAAAGATATTTTTTAAAAAAATCAATCTTGCTCACCCCTAAAATATATTAATGGCAAACCTCAAAATGCCACCAAGCAGGGCTTAATTGTATGCAGTTCAGGTTTTCTTCAAATGTATTTCATGCTAGGCTTTCACTTAGTTTGTGTTCTAATTATAATTACTGTGATTGGCTTGATAAATGCATCCCAGGAGCTAAGATCCCCATTCCCTACATTTTATTTCTGTGCAAAGGATATTTGCAAGAAGGTATTTTGCTTTAGGCAGCAGAAACTACTGTTGCCCACACGTTTGAGTAAGAAAAGCAACAGCTTCTTCTGCAAACATCAGAAACCCATCTGGGATGCTGGGCTATTGCTTAATGTCATAGAGGCTGATTTGGGGGGGGCAGACAAGTGCAAGGACATGGAAAAAGAACTCACTGGGGCTTCTTCCATCCATCTTGCAAAACCTCCTTCGTATCAGCTTGCACTGTGTACTCTCAGATACAAGGCAGCGTGTAACTGTGCTCAAACCTCAAGAATCCTATTTCATGTCTGAAGATGTGCTTGTCGTTCAGAAATAAGCTCTTGGAAACCCAAGCTGCCTGGGCTCCTGAGGGCTGCCCAGCCTCTGGCCTTAAAGACCTGGAAGGAAATCCTGAGTACTTGAGCAGACCTGGCCTTGGTTGCATACTGCCCTCTTCAGAAGGAAAATAAAATTTTCCGGTGTCCGCTGCAAGCTTCCTTTGACTGTCTTCACCAAAGCCACTTTTTGTATAGTCCACCGTCATTCTCCAGCTCTGGCAAATCACTGCACTTCTCTTGCGGATGCTCCTGGCAACTCAGGCACACTGGTGAGGTCGAAGTGGCAGAGGGAAGACGACGGAATTGTATTCAGCTGAGAAGTGGTTTGTGCGGAACTGAATTTTTGGCTGTTTATTTCTCATGTGTTTGTTTTAACCAAGAGACAACACATCGAATTGCACCCTAAATTTCAGACAGAAAACCATGATTTCAACTTCAGAATGTCCCTTTACTAGTTGAATGACCCATGGCAAATGGCTTCCCTGCTCAACTGTAAAATGAAGTTTCTAAACCTTCCCTGTCTTTCCCGAGGGCAGCTGTAAATACCGCATCCTGTGCGGTAAGTGAAAACATGACCCAGTGCATAGGGAGGCCTGACATTGTCAGTTTCTCCTCTGTCAGTTTCTCCTCTTTTCAATGGCAATTTTTAGAATTCTTTTTCTATTTTATAGTCATTTGGAGCTTCCCCCCCACCTTCCCTCTTATCTACTGAAACATATCCTTAGAAGTCAGTAGAGATTAATTTCATTTGAGATGCATTTCCCACGGGACATATAGAAAAATAGAGCAAATGTTTATTGAGTGCCAGACACTGTTTTAAACACTTGTAAACATTTTAACTCACTCAATCTCCCAATTATTCTGTAAAAAAAAATACCACCATCATCCTTGTAAAATAGACAGAAAACTGAGACATACGGTCATAGCTATCCCCAAGGTTACAGAGGTAGCAAATGAAAGAGTTGGGACTTGAACCCAGGCTATTTGACTCTAGGGTTCTTAATCACTGTGCCACGCAGCCTGTCAACTGTCCGATTCAAAGATGCTAAAAGGCCTCCAGTGGGAATGGCATAAAGACCACATCTTCTTGAAAGCAGGGCTGGGAATTTCAGAAGTTAAAAATGAGGCACATACTAATGATTCTTGGATGGTAAGCTGACATTTTGTGGTGGAGAGAATAAGTGGGGGGTTGATAAAAAGATATCCTTGAGAGGACTTCCCTGGTGGCGCAGCGGATGAGAGGCCACCTGCTAATGCAGGGCACGTGGGTTCAGTCTCCGCTTTGGGAGGATTCCGCACGCCCCGGAGCAACTAAGCCTGTGTGCCGCAACTGCGGAGCCTGCACTCTGAAGCCAGTGCACTGCAACAGGAGAAGCTGTGAAACGAGAAGTCTGGGCACCGCGATGCAGAGTAACCCCTGCTCGCCTGCCACCCCTAAAGAAAGCCCATGCAAAGCAACGAAGACCCAATGCAGCCAAAATGAATATTTTTTTTAAAGTGTCATTCAGAGAGAAGGAGATGGAGAGGTTTGGGGGACCCCCGCAGTTCTCAGCCTGGACACAGGAGGGGGACGTTCAAAGCCATTCAGTGTAGGATGTCCTAGGGAGCCTCTCCCAGCTCTGGGATCCGTAAAAAAAGGAGGGTTGCAACCCAAGTTATGACTTCTGCTCCAAGACCACAGCCTGTCTCTTCCCTGCAGTGGGGATGGAATCAGCAGAGAAAAGGGGCACGTTCATCTCTGTGACTGGTAGATAATACAGACCATGCTGGTGGAAGTGCCAGGAGATAAGAGAGAGGTGAGAAAAAGAGAAAGAACAAAAGCATCAGGAAAAGAAGAGAGATAGAAGTCTTCATCTTAGCCTGGGTATAATCTCCAGAGTCTGTCTCATGGTAACAGAGAATCATGTGATGTTTGTGCTGGAAAGGCATTAGAGCACAGAGCTGATCTCCAGGTTCAAAGCCCATCTCTGATATTTGTTACCTGTGTGACCTTGGGCA